AAATATTTATTTATTAACAGAATAAAAATATATATTGTTATAAATAAATAATATTCATGTTTTAATTTATATATTTATATTATAGAAATAATAAAAAATAAATGACTTAAATATTTAAATATAATAATATAAATTAATATAATAATATATTTAATTTTAAATAATAAAATATATATATAATTTATAATTATACTATTATAATTTTTTTTTTTATTTATTTTTTTATATTTTAATATATATATTTATATAAATTTATATTATTATATATTTATATTTATTTTTATTTATTAATACATAATAATATTGATATATATTTATATTTTTATTAATTAATATTTAATATAATTATATATATTTTTTATTTATATCTATTTTTTTATTTATTTAATTTATTCTTTTTATTTTATTTAATATTTATATATTATTAGTAATTATATATATAAATATATCTTTTTTTATTTTAATTAACAATAAACTTTTTTTTTACATCATTTATTTATATAATTTTCTAATTTAAAAAATATAAAATTATTATAATTATCAAATAAAACATCATTACCTTCTATTTTTATATTTTTTTTAATATCTTAAATTATTTAATTTTTTTCTTAATAAATTTTTTATAGAATAATTTCTTAATTTTCATAAAATTAATTAAAATTAAAAAAACCCTTTTTCCTTTATATACTCATTAAAAAAGCAACTTATTTTTATTCCTAAAAAAATCCCATTTCTCATATAAACTCCTTAAATAAAAACAGGTATATAAAAATTATTTTCATTTTTGATAAAATAACACTCTTATAACCCCTAATTATTACTATAAGCCTCGCCATTATTATCTAATATTTTACAAAGTTAATAAAAAATCATTTTTTTATCCTATTCTTGTACTTAAACGGCTAAAAGTTCTTAAATCTCTCTATAAAATATATTTTTTTGTCCAATATTTCCAACACAAACTGTCAAAACCTTCAAAAGATCATCAAAAATTCCTTCAAATACCTCCAATTTTACACCTTATAAAACTTTAACATAAATAATTCCTTTGAAAGAAGTTTAAAAATCAAAAAATTTATGTAAAACATCTTCCCAAAAGTTTAAATTAAATAAATTATTTTTTTCGAAAACTTCAAATAAAATTTAGAATTAAAAAAAATTTTTTCTAAAAAACACAAATAAAAATTTCCTTAAAATTCCGAAATTTAAAAAAAAAATCTTTTATTTAACCCTTAAAGCGTATTTAATTGTTTTCAGAAAAAATAATTTCTTCATTTTCAATTGAAAAAAACGACAAAATTCTAAACTTGAAAATTTCTTCTAAATTTCTCATTTAAAAAATTGAAAAAAAACCCTAAAAAAGCTCTTCCCAATTTATATTTTAAAAAATTTCTTTTATTTTTTCTTCTTTAAAAACACTTTTTTTCTCTTCAATTTAAACCTAAAAACTTCTTTCTTTTTTAGAATAAAAAACACTAGTTTTTTTTTCGGAATTTTATATATGAAAATCACCACTTTTTTGAAATAAATCATCTAAAAATACCAATAAACTTATATTTTTTCCGCTCTTTTCAAATTAACTGGATTTATTTAAATATATTAAAATCTAAGAAAATATCTCAGACTCAGAACATTCTCTTTTTCTTAATAAAATTCTCTTTTTTTCAGATTAATAACTTTTATTTCTATTCTATACAGTATTTTTATGAAATACATTTTTTTCTAAAGGATATATTTTTTTTTCCTATTTACTTTTTTTATCCTATTTTATATATTTTTCATATTAATTATATTTTCTTTATATATTATTTTATTCTTATTAAATATTTTTTTATTATTATATATATATTTCCTATTATATAGCTTTTTCCTATTTTATATTTATTTCCTATTCCATATTTTTTACTTATTATATGTTTTTTACAATTCTATATTTATTTTTTATTAATTATTTTTGTCAAATTCCTTATTTATTCCCAATATATTTTCATAGTCTATATTTTTTACTTTTTATTTTTTTCCTAAATATTATTTTTCTTAAAAATTGTATATTTATCGGGTGTATTTTTACCCCAATCTGTATTTTTTTGAAAACATATATTATTCTAAAAAAAAATAGATTTAAAAAAAAACTTCGTTTAAATAACTTTTTCTCTTTCAATTTTTCCGTCTTTTTTAACAAAAAAAACTTTAATTATTTCTTATTTTATTTAAAAACTTCATATTTCTTTATATATATATGCTTTTTTCTCCCACTTTTAAACAATATTAATAAGTAAAAATCACTAATTATATTTTTTGGAGGAAATCCTAATCTTTTTATAATATATTTAAGTCTATTTTTCTTAAATAAATGAAAATAATTTCTTCACTTTTCTCTATACTTCTTATAAAAAATTCCCTACTTTTTTAAATTTCCCCCAAACAAAAATAGCAAACCCCCAAATTATTTAAAGCTACACATTCCTAAATATTAAAAAGGTAATATTTTTCCTAAATATTAATTAAAGAATTCATTTTTTCCAGAATTTCCAAACCTTTTTAAAAATAAGAAACTGCTTCTAAAAAATTTCCTTAATGAAAGCAAAAAACCCCAATATTGACATACAAATTTCCTTATAGAACTTAATATTTTTCGCCTAAAATAAAAATTTCCCTTTAAATAATTTCCTAAACAAATTCAAATACTTCAAAAAGTCTATTTTCTCTTTAACTTTTTTCTTAATTTTACAAAATTTCTTTTATAAACTAATCCAAAATTCCATATAAAATTTTCAATGCTTTTGTTTCTGAATTTTTAAATAATTCTTTTTATTTTTAAACACTTTCATATATTAATTGTTTTATTTCTTAAAAAAACCCTTTTTTTCTTAACTCTTCAATTATTTATTTTAACTTTCTTATTTAGCAATTTTATACACTTACAATTTTTTCATCCTATCTTTTTTATATAGAATGAGATAATAAAATATTAAATTTATCTTTTTCGTATTTTTATACTAAATTTTAACTTTGTACTTTACTTAAAATTCTTGTAAAATCTAAACTTATTGATTTTCTAAGTTTATTTATATTTTGTTATTAATACTTAAACATATTTATTTTATTTTTTTATAAATACGATATATATATATATATATTATTATATATTTATATATTTTTTATCAAAAGATTTTATTTATATTTTTCTTTTGTTTTCTTCTATTTTCAATTCTTTTTTTTCTAATTATATTTATTAAAATAACAATTTTAATATAAGCAATAATCATATAATCTCTCATATTTACAATTTCAATGTTTTTTTGTTTTTCTGTACATATGATATCAATTATTACATATTTTTTAAGCAAAATGTCCTTCTATAGAATCTAAACAACTATTTATAATTTTTCTAAATATACATATATATATATATGATATTTTTTTAATTAATTTTTCTTTAATTTTTCTTTTTTTAAATTCAATAAATAAAAAAATAACCAAAAAAATTTTATATAGACTTTATTTTTATATCAATATATTTTTTTTTTATAAAAAAAATGTAAAAAAATAAATAAATATTAAAAATTAATACATATTAATATATATACTTAACTTTTATATACATAATTTTATATATCTTTTTAATTTTTTATTACATATTATTTTTTATTTCTTAAACTTTCATAAAATGATTCTTCTATTTATTCATTTATTTATTATTTTTATTTAATTAATTTTAGTTTGTAAGATTTTATTATTGTTTAATTAATTATTTTATATTAATAAAAATAATTTTTTATTTTTTATTTATTATAATTAAACTAAATAATAGTAAATTTTCAAGCAAATAATTATGTTATTATTCCGTATTTATGTGATTATTCAGTATATATTTGTTGAATAGTTTCTTTATATATATTTACATATATAAATATTAAATCTAATAATTTTTTTTTAAAAAAAAAAAATGTTATATTATTTAAATAAAATTACTTTATTAATAATTATAATTTATCAATATATGAATTTTAATTATTTTTTTCATTAAAATCTATTTTTATTATATATTATTATCATTTTATATATTACTTATCACAAGACTAAAAAGAAATTTTATTTTTTTTAAATATTTTTTTTTAATATTTCAACATATTTTACATAATATCTTTTTGTTTAATTTCAAATATTTTGAAATTTCAAATTAAAAAAGTTGCTTAATGCTCAAAAAAAATATTATTCGATAAATTCAATATGAACTTTTTTTAAAAAAGATAGTTATTTTATAAAAATAAAATATGAAATATAATTAATATTTTTATTAATTTTATACTTATAAACCCTTTTTTTATTTATAAAGTAATTTTTTAAACAAGATTAAAAAATATTTTTTTAATCTTTTATATATATAAATATTAATATATAAATTAATTATTAAAGATAATAATCTATTACAAATTAATTATAAAATATATAAATCTAACATAATAATTTAATTTAAATTATTCTTAATCTTTTATAATTTTTGACATAAAAAAAAAGTAAATAAAATTAATAAAAAAATTATATATATGCTTTATTTACTTGAAAAATATAAATATTTGTAAATTTTTAAATAATTTAGTTATATTTCAATTAAAAATAAGTTAATTTTTAAATAAATATTATTAAATTTTTTTTTATTAAAATATAAAAAATTTATAAAAAAATAAAAAAATATCTAATTATATATAAAAATTTTTTTGAAATAAAAATATATTATTTAATATATAAAATATAGATAATAATTAATTATTAAAATATATTTATATATTTAAAAAATTTTAATAAAATTAAAAAATAAAGTATATAAATTAATTTAAATTTATTTAATATTATATATAATAAAAAATATGGTAAAATAAAAATTATTAGATATTAAATGTTTTTCTATATATTATTAATTTTTATTTTTATATAAAATATTTAAAATTTATAAATATATATATGTATTTTTTTTATAAAGATATGCTTTTTAATTTTTTAATAATTATTATATATAAAAATTTAATAATTTATATTAATTATTAATAATAATTTTATATTAATAATTATTATTTATATTTATTTTTATTTTTTATTTTATATTATTATTTATATATATATATATATTTATTATATCAATTATATTATTTATAAGTAATTTATTAAATTATACATTAAATAAATAGATTTTTATTTTTATTTCAAATTTATTTTTCTTTAACAATTTTTTTTCTTTTTTCTTAAATATATAATTTTATTATTTATAAATTTTTTATAATTTATTATATTTTGCTTTTTTTATTATAAAACTTAAAATTTTTATTTTATTTTATTTAACTTAATTTATTGTCATATATATTAGGATATTTTCGATATTATATATTTTTAATGTATTTGATATTAGTATGTATGCAATATTAAAATTATAATTATAATATATTAAAATTATTATTATAATATAAATTACATCCAATCGTTTATATTTATTTTCAATATTTTTATCCTTTGTTCTTACTAAAACTATTATTAATCTTTCTTATTGTTTATTTAATTTCTATTTAAAGATTCCTTCCGATTTATATTTATATTTTAAAGATTTTAATTTGCTTAATAACCTTTAATCAACAATTAAAAACACAAGATGAAAACATCAAGAACTTTTTATTTTTTTAAATAAAAACTATAGTTTTTTTAAATTTTTATTTCTAAAATTTTTTTTTATATATATTTGTTTTGATTATAAAATATTATAATATAATTTGTTTAATATTATTCATATTAATTTAATTTATTTGAATAAAAAATAAATATATAAATTATTTTAAATGAATAATATTTATATAAAAATAAATAACTTATAAAATATATTTAAATATATATATATATATGATATAAATAATCATATAATTTTTATTTCTTTTTCCATAATTTCATTTGTAATTTTATATAATTTATAAGTTTATAAATCTTAAACTTTACAAAATTCTTCAATAGTGCATTTATCTCCTTAAAACCCTTCTATTTTAAACAGAAATTTTAAATTTTTTATTTAAAAATTTTTATTTTCCTTACAATAAATTCTATTTACATTTTTATATTCAGGATAATCTGCCAATAATATTTCCTATTTTTTTTATATTCACTAAAAACTCGATTTCTTTTAAATAATGCATTAAATGTTGATCACAGAAACTCTAATTTTTCAGCACTTACAATTTTATGCAAATTTTTTTATTATTAGAAAATAAAAGATAAGAAATTTTTTATTACTAATATTTAAAAGAACTAACTAATCCAAAAATAATTGTAAATAAATATTTTATAGATTAAAATTAAAGTCTTATATTATAAATAGCTTTGTGATCATTTTGTAGTGAGACAGCAGCTTTATAATAATTTTATTTACTAAAATCGACTATAATATAGGGTTATTTTAATTTATTACGGAAAGGTTTAAAGAGATTTATTAAATAGTTTTATTTGAAATTTAGTTCAATTAATTTTATTTCTTATTGAGTGTTTATTAATGATTTTGAGTATTTTTTTATTTCATATTTATTTTTGGATTTTTTAAGGGTTTTTATAATGTTTTATTCTTATAAAATCTGATTATTTATATCAAAATATTATTCGTTTAATTAATTTTTTATTTTTCTTAAATCTATTTTACTTTTTCTTAATTAATTTATTATTTTTATTAATTTAATTATTTTTTTTATAAGTTTATTTATTTTTCTTAGTATAGTTATTATTTTTCTTAGTTAAATTATAATTTTTCTTGGTTTTTTTATTATATTATTTTTTTAATTTTTTTTTTTTTATATTTAGTTTATTTTATTATATTTTTTATTTTATTTTTATATTCTCTTTATCTTTTAACTTTTTATATATCTTTAATTTTTTTAAAAAAGTATTTATTATTATTATTTTTAAATATCAATGTTTTTTCGGAT